GTTCCATTAGTATCGGGGTCCATTAGTATCTGGGTCCATTAGTATCGTGGTCCATTAGTATCGAGCTCCATTAGTATCGGGGTCCATTAGTATCGAGTTCCATTAGTATCGGGTTCCATTAGTATCGGGGTCCATTAGTATCTGGGTCCATTATATCGGGGGCCAGTAGTATCGAGTTCCATTAGTATCGATCATTAGTATCTGGGTCCATTAGTATCGTGGTCCATTAGTATCGGCCATTAGTATCGAGTTCCATTAGTATCGGGGTCCATTTTATAGAGTTCCATTAGTATCGGTCCATTAGAATCGAGTTCCATTAGTATCGGGGTCCTTCGTGTTCCATTAGTATCAGCTCCATCAGTATCGGGGTCTATTAGTATGTGTCCATTAGTATCGTGTTCCATTAGTATCGAGTTCATCAGTATCGGGGTCCATTATTATAGAGTTCATTAGTATCGGGGTCATACATTCCATTGTCAGGGTCCATTAGTATCGTGTTCCATTAGTATCGAGCTCCATCAGTATCGGGGTCCATTGTATCGAGCTCCATTAGTATCAGTTCCATTAGTATCGAGCTCCATCAGTATCGAGGGTCATTAGTATCGACTTCATCAGTATCAGGGTCCATTAGTATCGAGCTCCATCCATTTGTATCGAGCTCCATTAGTATCGAGTTCCATTAGTATCGAGCTCCATCAGTATCGTATCGAGTTCCATTAGTATCGAGCTCCATCAGTATCGGGGTCCATTAGTATCGAGCTTCATCAGTATCGGGGTCCATTAGTATCGAGTTCCATTAGTATCGAGCTCCATTAGTATCGGGGTCCATTAGTATCGAGTTCCATTAGTATCGAGTTCCATTAGTATCGAGTTCCATTAGTATCGAGCTCCATTAGTATCGGGGTCCATTAGTATCGAGTTCCATTAGTATCGAGCTCCATTAGTATCGGGGTCTATCAGTATCGAGCTCCATTAGTATCGGGGTCTATCAGGTACTGGGACACAAGAGGCTCATTAAGACATGGGCCTTAATCCCAATGGTAAGATTCTGTTAGGTATCAGGATTAGGATCTATTAGAGCTGGTCTCCACTCCCATTGGTTAAGTTAGATTAGACACGGGGTCAATCGGCCATGTAGCGACTTACACGATTTAAACACCATTAGACTAATTGAACATAAGGTAGTGAGAGAGAGAGTGAGAGAGACTACTAACCTGGTACTGGGTTCTATAGTCGATGAGTCGTGTCAGTAAGCTGCGTCTCTTTGTTCGAACCAAATGATGTAATTTTCCATATTGTTTAGTTCTTTATCATAATTCTAAAGTCTTTCACCATAACACATCACTACAAGATAAACAGATACACAATGATTATAATATATGATTGGTAACGTTGATTAATTATACTGAATATCGAAAACATTAATATAGACCGTTTACCAGGTTTAAAGTCCAAATTAAATGTTTCTGGCAGCACTTAGGGACTCACACGGGTGTTATTTTCAACACTGTTCGGTGACCTTTGTAAATTAAATGTTACAAACGTTTCAGTCTTACATGAAATATAATAATTAATTTTGTTTAGTATTCTCGGTATTGTTAAACAACTGTCCCAAATAGACCCTTATATATATCCGCATTAAACTTGTAAATCAAAGTAAACGTTTTCCTCCACAGCCAAAGTTTGTCTGTTGCCACAAGATTAAATTTGTCTTATAAGAGCTTTTCAATATTAAACATTCTAACTAACGTTTTTAATAGCCTGTCATACACAAACGTCTAATGTCACAGTAAATGTTTCACTCCGATAGTATTAAAATGTTTCCGTATTTATGAACGTTTTCAGCTCTAAGAACACAATAATAATCCAATTCAGTAAACAGTGATATAATATGTGGCTTTATGGACGTTTTTAATTACACTATCGCAATAATAAAACCATTTAGCCTAATTATATTCACATGTATTCACTTCTTGACATTACTTTTATATTAGTTGTATGTCTTTACTTTCACAAACGTTTTTAATCACAATGACAAAAACGTTTCAGTGTTAGGTGAGCATTTTAGCACCAGTACAGTATATCATGAGTACCTCACCACACCACACCACACCAGGACACTACAAAAACAACGACGGATGGGAACAGCTGTGAGTCTGATGGCCACAGCTGATCGACTGGCCACGTCCGACACAGCAGCTGTTGATTCACTCCCACACGGACAGCAGAGCAGCCGCCGCAGGACTCGGGTCAGGCCCAATCTGACCCTTTAGACTCACAAGAGATGAGGTCAAGCTCCTCAGTTTATATCCAGGAACTTACGAGCCTCTAGGACGAGGTCTTCTGACTGTTCGTGAGGGTCAGGTAGCAGCGTAGCAAGTGTAGTGAGGTGATGCGTTATCACTGTTGCCATCACTGCCCGCTTATCCTAAACAGTTTTCTCCTGGTGATAGACTAGTATCGTCCCGGGACATATGCCAGGCCGTGTACACCCACCCTCACCTCTGTTTATCTTCGCTACAACTCCACATCTCATATATCCGCACTCTAACTTACCTATATTTAAGGCTGAAGTTATATTAAGTGTTTAAAGTTCAATGTCTAAGGTCAGGGAATACGAGGGAGATTATCCTGCGAGAATCATCCTACCTCCGGAAGTTCGCCAACCTAAACAACTTTTCTGTGTCGCCCAATCCCGGGTTGGCAGGAGGCCCGCTGCCAGATGTGTGATGCAAAAAATACCCGTGACAAATAATTCTCTTCTCATACTTACGCCCTTTCATATGTTACGATCTAAAATAATTACCTCTTTATCAACATCACCATAACAATAATTCCCTTAGTATTGAACATTTACTTGATTATTTCAGACAATCAGATAGAGACGTGAATCAGTCATCTAGCAGAGCGAACCCAGACTGTCGTACCGTCAGGAGGGGGAGCAACATGTGACTGGCAGCGTGTAAACAGCAGGAGAAAGCGCTAATATTTCCACACTCGAGCCATTCAACATGTCTCTCTCTCTTTTAATTTCCTCACTGCCGAGTAATTCATTAATAATACACACTTGAAGAGGAACACACTGTAAGAAACAAGGTGTAATAAGGTCTAAGTAACGTGATATTAACGAGGGTGAGAGCTGTAGTTCCTCACCCGCGTAAAACAATACCACCGGCATTGTTATACAAGCGTTTACTGTTTTATGACTCGCCTCCATAACACGCTGGTAGGTGACACATTCCTAACACCAACCTTATTAATCTTTATAAATTGTTTGTTGTTGAAGCATAGACCTGAGACTACTTAACATCCCTAGCAGCTGAAATACTCAAAAAATAAAGCTCTTATTTTATACACAATTGTAATTTATGTGTATAATGAATTTATTTACAGATATATGTGGGTTTTAATTACAGTTAGTTCTTTAATTAACAGGTTTAAGTCATTACGTTTCTATATTTGTTACATTTCAATATAACATTAACGTATACCTGTGTTTTAAAGTTCCCAATTTATGCTATATTTCCGTCTAAAATCTCAAGAGGTTCGTATGGTAAATTATTCTCGTAGCCGAAGAGGTAAGATACACCGAACTACCCGAAGGCAAAAACCACCCTAACGCCAATCTGATCTAACCACCCTAACGCTAATCTAACCAATATAACGCTAACCTAACCAAACCTAACCACCCTAACGCCAACCTAATCTAACCACCCTAACGCTAATCTAACCAATTTAACGCTAACCTAACCAAACCTAACCAAACGCCAACCTAACCTAACCTAACCAAACCAGCCCAGGTAGTGTTAGGTTGGTTTATCTTCAGCTGTAAATAAACTAATAGGGGGAGAAACTACAGTTGACTCAGCCCCAGTAACTGACGTGCGAGGTTGTGAGAAGCTTGTGTTGTATAAATAAGAAGCAGTTACATGCTGGTCGTTTGCGATGACTCACTAATGTAACTATAATAAACATTTGTGAAGTTTTATTGAAAGGTAGTGATAGACAGATCAGTGGGTACATAGACAGGCAAACTAACACATAAATAACCAGATGAACAGAGAGTAACATAGACAAACTGACAGTAACATAGACAGATACTCATGAAGATAAATAGACAGAAAATTAGTCGCTATATAAATACGAATAAATAGAAAAATAAATGAACAAAATACGTAAATATACAGCTATTATTGATATACACATACATACATCAAGTTAAAAAAACAGACAGACAGACAGACAGATCAACCACCATGAATAAGGCAATACGGCCGTTACATTATACAAGCTAACCCCCCGGGCACCCACATTACCATAGTCCCTGCCTCACACCTGAAGGAGTCGCCTCAGGTAAATATTTCCCACTTTCTACCATACACGGAAACTTCCAAGCCTCAGGGCAGACTATGGAAAACTGGTCACTAGAGAGACAGCATATAGATACTATACAATAATATATCCTATCTCGACACCAACACACTAATATATGGTAGGTCGATAAATATACCCCGAATATACGCGTTATATATCTCAGACTACTAACGAATCAAGTATATACGATTAAAAATCTATCTATGTATGTATTCAGAAACTGGCAACTGTGTGTAAAATATACCTCGAATATAACGGTAACTTCTCTGGAATATATCTTGCGTATATTCCTGAAAGACTGTAGACGTTTTGACCCACACGAAGGTATATCTTCCATATATATTAATAAAAGGCAAACTGGCAACCCCCAAACGAGTATGCTTCTCAATAAATGCAAACTGGCAACTACAAGGGAATATATTCAAGAGACTATTCTTAGATAAATTTACAACTGGCAACTGTAGGTAAAAAAATACATTAACAAATAACACAGATAAAATGAGAAACTGGAAACCGCGCGGCTTATACACGTGTCGAAATATACGACTGAAATATATGGTAACTGGCAACACTTCAGACATATATATTAGAGAGACGGGGGGGGGAAGAAAAAAGTCAGTACTTACCCTGAACTTGTCATCTCCACATGGTCCCCGGGGCAGGTATAACCCGCCGTCCACCCCTTTGGACCTGTCATCAAGAATATATCATGTTAGTATATGCTGGGGATATTCTTTAAGTATATTGCGGTAAGTATATATATATATATCAATATGTGGGATGATAACTTTCACTATAACACACACACAGACAGAGTTAGTGTTTGTGGTATACAGTAATCGCGGGTTATGTTGGGGTGAAACAATAACTCAAAGGAAAGCTCATAGGTTAATATAATCTTGGTATATACCTTGAGTATACCAGATTAACACTTGTTGGGCACATTCCTTTCCTTGAGTATACCAAGCTAATATATGTTAGTATAACTATTAATATGTGGGTAATAATAATAATAATAATAATAATAATAATAATAATGAAAATAATAACTGATAATGATGATGAAAATAATAAAAAATATAATTAATAATATCAATAACAATAATAACAAAAACATCATAATATAACAAAAGCCTCACAAACACACGTAATAAACACAACAATAGTGTAAACAAACGTAAACACACACACGTGGTCTCTCATTCATGTTTATGATTCATTCACAAAAACCTGTTTCATTCATCAAGCTGCCGCCACGTACGCTGTCAGATCTGAGGTGTGGGGAGAGGAACGAGGGAGGGAGAGGAAGGGGGGGTGTGGAGAGGAAGGGGGAGAGGAAGGGAGAGGGGGAGGAGAAGAGGAAGGAGGAAGGAGAAGAAGGAGGGAGGGAGGGGGAGGGAGGGGAGGAGGAGGAGAGGAAGGGAGAGATGAGGGAGGAAGGGAGAAGGAGAAGGGAGGGAGGTGAAAAGAAAGGAGGGAGGAGGAAGGGACGGGGAGAGGGGAGGAGGGAGAGGAAGGGAGGGAGGGAAAGGAAGAGAGGAAGGAAGGAGGAGAGAGAAGAGAGGAAAGAGGAGGAGGAGAGGGGGAGATGGAGGGAGGGAAAGGAAGGAAAGAAAAGTGGAAAGGGAAGAAGGAAGAACGGCAGTGAGGGAAGAAGGAATATGAAAAGGTGGAATGGAAGGGATGTGGGGAGTGAGGAAGAAAGGAAGGAGGGATGAAGGAGGGATGAGAGAGAGAGAGAGAGAGAGAGAGAGAGAGAGAGAGAGAGAGAGAGAGAGAGAGAGAGAGAGAGAGAGAGAGAGAGAGAGAGAGAGAGAGAGTGTGTCATCAACAATATCATGCAGACTTCCTGTGTGTGTGTGTGTGTGTGTGTGTGTGTGTGTGTGTGTGTGTGTGTGTGTGTGTGTGTGTTGGGGTCATCAGTGAGCAAGCCGGACCTGCTGCTTCTATGAGTCTGATAGATTATACCTTCCACCCTGCCCCCACCCAAGGATTACTAAGCGGAGAGAGGGAGGGAGGGAGGAGGAGATGCAGGGGGAGGAAGGGGGAGGGGAGGGAGGGAAGGAAAGGGAAGAGATGCAGGGGGAGGGGAGGGGGAGGGGTGGGAGGGAGGGAAGGAAAGGAAGAGATGCAAGGAGGGAGATGAGAGGGTGGAGAAGAGGGAGAGGGAGGGACCAAGAATGAATGGGGGGGTATGTATGTATGTATGTATGTATGTATGTATGTATGTATGTATGTATGCATGTATGTATGTATGTATGTATGTATGTATGTCTGTATGTATGTATGTATGTATGTATGTATGTATGTATGTATGTATGTATGTATGCATGTATGTATGTATGTATGTATGTATGCATGTATGTATGTATGTATGTATGTAGTGTCACCAATATTATTTTACACATCTCTACTAAGCTTAACATACTCACGAGCAAAAAGTCAAGGACCCACTAAGTTAAATTCTCGACCAATTGATATATATTGTGTTGTGGTTTGAGAGAGAGAGAGAGAGAGAGAGGGAGCCTAACATCCCCATAACTCACTCCATTCACCATCTGCTATTAGACACATTCCTCTCAGTACAGTAAGCGCTGGAAGACACACTGCCTTGTTGTACACAGGGTAATAGCAAGAACCTCTGCTATTTGTGTGGATGCCAGTTGACGAGGGCAGAGTCACGCACACACACACACACACACACACACACACACACACACACACACGTAGATGTTAGCAACACTTATTTAATTTCTACTGATTTGATTAAGTTTTATAAAGATCACCTGAAGATTAGCCCCCCTCCCTGCTTATTTCACCTGATAATTAGCAAAACTTTAACGCTACTTGAGGATGTTAGGTTAGGGTTAGATTAGGATAAGATATGTTAAGCTAGGGTTAGATTAGGATAGGATATGTTAGGTTAGGGTTAGATTAGGATAAGATATGTTACGTTAGGGTTAGATTAGGGTCTCCAAAGAGATAAAAAAACTTTAGGGGATTGGTAAAAGCAGCCCGAGAATGTTTAGGGTGGAGGACTGTGGTCGCTAACCCCCAGATATGATGTAATAATTGGTTTAGATCTTATGTTTTATCAGTAAGGTTTAAGATTTTTTTTATCATGTAAGTAAGGTTTTGTATGTTTTAACGAGTCATAAGTGCTGTTTAGAAGGTGTTAAGTAATGTCAGTACGTTTAAAGTGTTATAAGTGCTGTTTAGTAGGTTCTAAGTAATTCAAGTACACATAAGTAGATTTTCAAGAGTTGTAAGTTTGTTTTAAATAATACAAGCACACTTAAGTATACATTTCAATTCATGTAAGTACCATTTTAGAACATTTTACGTATCAAAAAGTAAGGCTTGAACACGGTATAAGTCGGTATACCATGAACGCATCTACTTATGAATGGTGAAAGTGGGTCCTGTAAAGCTGAAGCTCGGTTAAGGGAAGTGTGGATATAGCCTACTGCAAACTAAGCCTTCCTCGGTACTGCACTTAACAACCCTCATTTCCCTATCTGTATAGTTTAGGTACCAATTCACACATAGATCAACTGTTGGGGGGTTAAGTTAGGTTAGTTTAGGTTAGGTTTCCTGGTCGTGAACTAGAGACTCCATGGACAAGAGGTGGGTGTTGTATTCAATCAGCCACCGCACCTTACTTTGTACACATTCCACGACGTTTTAAGCTGCCCGTCGTGGAGTTTGTTTGTGTATGTGTGTGTGTGTGTGTGTGTTTATTTTGTGTGTGTATGTTTGTGTGTGTGCGCGTGTGTGTGTGTGCGTATGTGTGTGTGTATGTGTATGTTGTGTGTGTGTGTGTGTATGTGTGATTGTGTGTATGTGTCTTTTTTTTGTGTGTAAGTGTGTGTTGGCACCCTGTTAGTGCCAGGCTGGCTCAGTGCCTTACCAACAACACCGATGAGCCCTGACTCACCCCCCCACCTCCTTCATCTCCTCACGGATGTCACCCACTCACCACACCCACACGCCTTATGTCATCTTACTTATGGCGTCACCCGCATCTGACATCATCAACACCTCACTTATGGCGTCATTCAAACCTCACGCCATCAACATCTTATATGATGTCATTCAACCCTCTTACTCGACATCATCCTCTCCTGACATCCGGTACAAAGGTCAACAACAACTGAGGCACATTATAGCCTGGTTTATGTGACGTCAACAGACACACGTGGCATAAACAAGATTTTCCGGGGTGGAGGAAAGCTGATACTATTATCTTAGTCAATGCTTTAGTGTTCCCGGGAAAAAAATGACACCATTACATTTCCTTGAATGACTTGTTGACTGCAGACAAGATGATCCCTTTGAGACAAGAGAAAGCACTACTTGTTGAGTGGTATACTTAAAGGTTTATGAACCATCTGTGAACAGCAAAATACCTGTATAAGTAAAACTCTTATTACTTTCATTATATTAGCATCATCACTTAAATAACAATCAAACACAGAACTTGGCCTCCACCCACACACATCTCTGTCACAGCGGGAGGGGAAACCTTCCAAGAAAACGGTGGTAGATGAAGGGCATACTTAACATACTGTACTCCTCTGACCTTACATCATTAACGTTACTTTTAGTCTTACTGTTGTTTTATCGCTAATGACAGTAATAATATTCATAGCATAACCATACATACTTTTAGGTCAACTATCAATAGGTAAGGGTAAGACTTCGAAGAAAACGACGATGGGTGAGAAGTAAACTTAATATAACCTTTCACTTGTGTTTAAGCCACTAATAATAATCTTGTTTCTGGCAACACTTTAATCAACACCAACTGTACTCTTATTAAAACACAACAGCTTATATACCTTCACACATACGGACCCCACAATGTCTGTCATCAATACTTTGGTGAAATTTCCATCATATTACAGCACAAACACGGTTACCTTCACAGAGACGCCCCCACCTCCCCCTATGTCTGTCACCAAGGGGATGGACCCCACGTATTTACACAGGTGCCAACCACGGTAGCCCGAACCAGGGTCCTCCGTGCATGATACTACCAGCAGATGTGACGCCCACACCACGGCCTTCCCTGAAGCTGTGGCGTGATCTCATGGTGCTGCGGAGAGAGAGAGAGAGGTCTTCCCACGGCCGCATAATCACAACAAAAAGAGGAGACACCGCCCTCACAACCTACGGCTTCCCAAAAACCTTATAAAACTTGGACACTTTTCCCGCGCTTTTTTAACTTTCTCAATTTGTTTATAATTTTCCCGCGCAATTTTACAACTTTCCCGCCATCTCAGTTTTCGACTAACACCTCACACACTCCCAGTCTCCCCCTAGCTCTCCCAGGTGAGACGGAGAACCCTTGAAAACTATCCAGGTATGGTCCTAAGGGCATCCTACTCGCCACCTGCCGACTACCAAATTGGAATATATAGGAGGTTAAGGATATAACACGATCCATTACACATGCTGAATCAACCTCACCATGGGAGTCCGTCGGCCCATTAGGTTGTATCCATCAGCCAATCACATGGGGGTAAGTCTGTTATAAGTGGTGTCTATTAGCCAGTCACAGAGTAAGTCACGTAGATTAAGACTATCAGCCAATCGCATAAGAATACGTCACAAGCACTGTTTCCATCAGCCAATTACGATCCATACGCTCATTCATTCATTCATTCATTATGCAGTTATACCAGAGA